TATTTGCAACCAGACATATGAGTCTTTAATGCATTTGTACCCTTAAATTTAGAATCGGTAAAAATTTTCCTACCACAATAATTACCTCTAGCTTTATTTTTACTTTCATCACTTACGAATTTAGTGATGTGTCTCCAAACTTTCAACCTTGACAGAAGTGCTTTTTCCTCTTCACTTTAGAATTGAAAGCTTCACTTCTTGCTCCTTCATGGGTAGAGACTTGAGTTGTGTAATACTCGATGGTGGCACAACATTGTTAGCCTCATTAAGTATAGGAACTGAATTATTATTTTGAGTTGCCATTGACATCTTTAGAAAAAAGAAAATATATTAAATATATCAAAAGGTAAACCACAGAAAAAAAAACAGAAATGCTACCATGTTGATCATGCAAAGGAAATTATAAGACAAAATGTGTAAGGTGACTTTTAAATCTCAATGGAAGTGTGTACAGTGACTTTCAAATTTCAATGGAGAGTTTGATTGGCCTGTTGCTTAATTAGTAGGTTAGAAATTAGGAAAATGCTAAAGGTAATTAGTAGTCATGATCTCTAAACATAAATTAAGGAAAAACAACCTTGAACTTCAAAGTCAAGGATAATGATGGCAACCACAAAACGGAAAGGAAGCTACTGGAATTTTTAATGTAATTTAATACCTTAATCGCCTCTCCAAAATCATTATTATCAGAGACCGTGTCTTTTTTTTTTCTTTGATAATTAGCCAAGTATTTTATTAATATAATGAAATATTACATTGAGTGAATAATACTTCTTAACAATAGAAACAACATAAAACCCCACCATAATCCTAGATATAGCTTTTTACAACCCTCAAACCACCACCTAATAACTAATACACCATATGATTCAACATAGGCATAGAAGTATAAAATGATATTGAAGGTCAAACATTCACCCGTGAAGACGACCTTTTACCGCATCTTTTCTTACAATAAGGTACCATTTTGTATGAGAAAAGTGGTAGCATATTCTCTGTAATGTGTCTAATTAAATTACATTGTAGTGTTTGTTTTGTAATAAATCACTACAATGTAAGATTACAGTGTAATTATATTGCAACCAATGGATGTAATGTGATTGCAGTATAAAACCAATGCAATCACATTGTTTTACACTCTGTAATGTTATTAACGAAAGTTAACCCTTTAACTTTGTTACTTTTTTAAAAACATTTTGTAATGTTATAATTAAAATAACAAAATAAAATAAAATATATAATATAGGAATTAAAAATTTAAATAAAAATAAAATATAAGAAATTAAAAATTTATATAATATAAGAAAAAGAAAATTAAAATAGAATATATAATATAAAAAATTGTATTAAAGAAATGAAAATAAAATATATAAGATTATAATAAGAAATGAAAATAAACTATATGATATTAAAAATATATTTAAGAGATGATATTATATAAAACTTAACAATAAAAAAATACAAGTATATTAAACTTGCATTTTAATACATATGTGTAATTCTAAAAATTAACATTACATTTTCAATAAAGTACTTGTAAACCCAATACTGCAATGTTATCTTCCTTGCATTTTAATTATTACTTGTGTACCAAACACTGTAATATTATTTTCTCTACAATCACATTACATGTAACCACATTGCATTGTAAAATATTAAACGCCACCTAAAGGTTTACTCAAACCCTATTACTGCTACCTTGCTTCCTCTATTGATAGGTTAACTCACATTAAAGATACTCCTGACTCATTACACCATCCTGAAATAACTTGGTTTCCAATAAATTCACCTAAACAACCCTAACCTTTTCATTAACCATCTTTTACCCTATCTTCCCAATATTAAAGTGATTTTAAACTCAAGACCTAAGCCAAAACGTTTTGTGAAATTCTTACCTATTCAAAGCCTGCGAGTCCCAAATTTATGGTTGTTGCCTATCAGAGGAAGAAAATAGAGGATAGGTGACCAATCATTGACGGAGAGCAAAAAGGGTGAGGGTGTGACTTGTGAGGCAGTGAGTTGGGAAAATCAAACACCTCAAAAGCCGTTTTAACTGAATTAAAAAAAAAATCAAACTCATTTCGATTCAATCAAATTTTTTGATTTGGAGTGATTTTGCCCACTCTTAAACAGAATGGTGATTGTAAATTAGAAGATCCTACCCACAATTAGTGATGAAATTCAGATATTTGACTTTTACAAGACTAAGACTAGATATCTCATTTGCAATCCAAGTTCTGTCCCAATTCATGGATAAACCCTTTAGTTCTCATTTACAAGCTACTCACAGAGTGTTAAAGTACCTCTAGGGCGTTACTGGCCAAGGGTTATTGATGTCTTCAAGTTCTTATTTGAAGTTAAAATGCTTACACTGATAATGATTGGGCAGGATTTCAAGACATTAGGAGGTCCATTAGAGGATTTGGCATCTTTTTAGGTGATTCTCTCATCAGTAGGAGGTCAAATAAACAGAATGAAGTGACTAAAAGCTCTGGTGAAGTTGAATACAGGGCAATGGTAGCTATTACGTGTGAAGCTATATGGATTTTGTATTTATTGATTGATCTTGGTATTGTTTTATAGTAAGGCTGTGAAGCTTTTTTGTGACAATCAATCAACTTTGCATATATATGTAGAAATCTCACATTTCATGAACGAACTAAATACATAGAGATTGATTGTCATTTTATTAGAGATAAAGTGCACGATGGAGTAACAAGTCCCCGTTATGTTCATACAAGGCAACAGGTTACAGATCTATTTACCAAGGTCTCACCACCAGCTCAATTCTATGCACTCATTAGCAAGATGAGCATTATTATATAATTAATGCTTAGCTTGAGGGAAGTGTTAAAAGCATATGCAAGGCAAGTCACGTGCTAGACAGTAGCTCTAATTAGTTAATCTTATTGATAATAAAGTTGTAAATATTTTTAAAATTGGTTTTAAGTTACTTAGTGCCAGTGATGTAAACAATAAATTTAGTTGTAACTTTCTTGTCTTTTACGATTTGTATAAATACATTTTTACCACTAATGAACAGTGGATTTTGGTCAATGAATCTCAACAAATTCCAAAAAACCTTTTTTTTCTTGTTCTTGATTTTTTTTTCCCAAATTTCATCAATTTCAACATGTGTCTATATTTATATTTACACAATGGATGTGTCAATATGGTATTGCTTTCAATAATGTGGGTTTCACTTAGACTTAATAATTTTGGACACAACGCAAAAAGACATGAAGTTAAATAGATTTTGATTTAATCTTATCATTTTTTGTGTCTTAATCGTGTTAATATTTTCGTGTCTTAACTGTGTTAAACACGGTTATAACGTTTTAATACGTTTAATTAATTGTGTTTAAATGTGTATAAGTGACATGTTTATCAATCCATTTAAATTAATAGTAAAATATTATTTTAAATTTATTTAAATAATTTTAAACCATTATTTTAAAAGACCTTTTAAATTTGATAAAAATAATAAGGTAATAAAACCCTAATCCTAATTTTTTTTGCTACTTTCTTTTCATTTGGATCTATTCCAAAAGAAAGGCATAGTCACTTGGCCTGCACCACATTCTCTTCCTCTTCTTCTTCCCTAACCCCAATTCCAATTTATCACTAATCTCACCGATTATTTCTCTATTTCTTCCCTTCTTCACTAACATTCCCAAAAAAACACTCAAAAACACTAACCCTAAAATCCTTTTCCTCCAATCTGGTAGTCTCGTGGTTGATTTTAGATGTTATTAATATTTTAAGATTCAATGTTAATAATGGGTTTCATTGTTATGATAATGAATTTTATGAATGCTATTTATGTTGAATTTTATTAAATTTGATATTATTATTATTTTGTTATGATTGTTTTTATGATTATTGATTTTAAATTTGAATAATAAAATTATATTTAATTGTAGATATTTTAATTTAATCATGTATTAATCGTGTTAAACGTGTTAAAAAAATATTAAATTAATCGTGTTTAGGTTTAAGCAATCGTATCATGTCGTATAAAATATAACAGAACATGTTTAATAAACGTATTAGATATATCATGTTACACGATTTTTTAATTTATTTGTATATATGTTTTTTGACATGAAAAATTATTCATGTTAAATTCGTATTTCCTTGTATAATTGTTAACACCTATATTAATGTAACATAATTAAAATACAAAAAGATGAATTTTTCAAATCTAAATTCACAGCTCCTACGCGTCAGAGCTGTGATCTATGCGAATATGCATTGGTTGATTCGATTTGTAGGAAGTGGGCGGCAGAGGTATATCAAGACTTCACTAGCGGGAGTAATACAATAGGATTATAGTATTTCTTGGAAAGGGACTGCCATGTCCATCGCTTTGTCACTTCCCCATGGCCGGCAACTAAGTACAAATACAACACACTAATTTCCTCCATAATCATCCATCATTAGTGATGGATGCATGGAATATGGATGGATGTTCAATAATTTTTTACTAGTGGATTTTAGTACATACTATATAAATGCATCTAGGTTTAACTCAAGTGACAAAAATTAAATTTACATGAAACATTTTAAGATTCGAGAAACGTAAAATTTTTTCTTTATTTAAAAAAAATATTAATTTGTAAAGATGTAGAAAATGAATTAAGTAAAAACATACATGATATAATTTATAATATAACATTTTTTTTATTTGAAAAGCATGATATAACATTCTCATAATATAACACTACGTAATAATAATATGATATTAAAAGATAGTGAAAAGATACCGAACGCTTATATTTTATTTATATTTTCTTTATTATTAAGAGGCTATGGCCCTCATTGTAAATAACAAAGCTACATTATTAACCTTGTGCTTATCGACGTTCAACTTTATATCGAGACATGCATAAATCAAATCAACTTAGCTTCATATCGTAGACTGAACAACATTGTATGCAGCACAAAGTTTTAGTCTTTCGCCTTTTGCCATAGCATAAAGCAAATTCATCAGAAAGAAAATGTCAGTTGAAGAGTCTTGGACCGCCCCCATCAAGGAAGAATCCGGCGATTCTCAACCGCTGGTCAACCGAGGTGGCTTCGATTCGCATACCGGAATTTATTCTTCACTTTTTCCACTTAGTGACCATCTCAAAGTTCCTAGTGATCCTGACCTTGGCATTGCCTCGTTTGTGCTATCACAATTTCCTCATCCTCAAGTTGGTGAATCAAAAGTTGCACTCATTGACTCAGCTACAAACCAGCAACTCACATACGCTCAACTCCATCGATCAATTCAATCGCTTGCCTGTGGCCTTCACCACCTCGGAGTCCGCAAAGGTGATGTTGTGTTCCTTTTGTCCCCAAACTCACTCTTGTACCCAACGATATGTCTTGCAATATTTTCACTTGGTGCAATACTCTCACCTGCCAATCCAATCAATACCCCCTCGGAAATAGCTAAACAGGTACTTGACTCGGGAGCTAAGCTTGCGATCTCAGCCCCCGAGGAGTTACATAAGCTGCTACAAACTGGGGTGCCTACGATTATCACGTCTCGTCAGTCAGATGAGGATTCGTTATCTATCGAAGAACTGACTGAGTGCTGCGATCCACGTGAATTACCGGAAATTAAGGTTAAACAGTCAGATACGGCTGCTATATTGTACTCTTCGGGTACTACGGGAACAAGCAAGGGTGTGATTTTAACGCATTCGAATTTCATAACAACGACTAGACTTGTGAGATGGTATGCAGAAGCAACATCATCCCAAAATGACATATTTTTGGGGTTTATACCCATCTTTCACATATATGGGCTTGCATTTTTCGGGTTAGGACTTTTAACTGCTGGTATCACCACTGTGTTAATGCCAAGATTCGATATACAGGCAATGTTGGATGCAATTCAGACTCATAAAGTTAACAACATTCCTGCTGTGCCCCCTGTGATACTTGGCCTGGTAAAGTACTGCAAAGGTAATAGCAAATTGTCAACATTGAGGAGGGTTGGTTCAGGGGCTGCACCCTTGAGCAAGGAATTGACAGACGCATTCAGGGAACAGTTTCCCTGGGTGGAGCTGAGGCAAGGCTACGGGCTAACCGAAACCTGCGGCGCCACCTCCGGTTTCGTGTCTCACGAGGACGCTAAAGCTCACCCAGGGTCATGCGGAATGCTGCTGCCAAGCTGTTGTGCTAAGGTGGTTGATACTGAAACAGGGTTGGCTTTGCCACCTTACGGGAAAGGAGAGCTGTGGCTAAACGGTCCTACAACTATGACAGGGTATTTGGGAAACAAGGAAGCAACGGCTGCAACAATAGATAAAGATGGGTGGCTTAAAACAGGGGATCTTGGCTACTTTGATGAGGATGGATTTCTTTATATTGTTGATAGGATAAAGGAGCTTATCAAGTATAACGGGTATCAGGTATCTAAGCAATACCAGATTTTAACTGTGACAACTTCTAGTATTTGCATTGTTTTCAAGAACAAAACCTGCCTTGATTAATTGTTCAAAAACCTGTTTTCCATTCAGGTGGCTCCAGCAGAACTGGAAGCAGTGCTTTTAGGCCATCCCGATATTGTGGACGCTGCAGTTATACCGTGCGTGCACCCCTTAAAGAAGTAGTGTGGCTGTCATGCGGTCGTATTTGCATGTGTATTTGACACTGTTTTGGTTTTTGCAGGGTTGATGATGAGGAATCAGGGCAGATGCCAATGGCATATGTGGTGAAGGCAACTGCTTCCCAACTCACTGAGGACCAAGTCATCCAATTTGTAGCTGCTCAGGTTGGTCTTTGGGAATCAAAAGATATAATTTTTATTTATTAAAAAATTAAAAAAAAAATGAACTTAGTTTCACGTATATTTTTTCTTATTTACTGTATATATAAATTATCATGTGATTAATAAGTAAATGAAACCCACACCCATCTTAGTACTAGTTTCGCTCGCATATCAATAAACATGATCAATTATATGTGCGTGTGCACATACATCACCTGCTGCGCAAGGGAGCCGGACTTACGGATCACCGCGTGACATGCATGCGTGGGGCAGAGAGACAAATTATTCTAAAATAAATATTAAAAGAGAACTTATTTGCCATGTATGAAATCTTTCAGGTGGCTCCATACAAGAAAGTAAGAAGAGTGGAATTCATACATGCCATCCCAAAGTCAGCAGCCGGCAAAATCTTGAGGAAGGAGCTCATCCTACAAAGCCGACGGCAAATTCCCTCCAAATTGTAATTTTTATACTTCGGTTATCCATTGCACTAGTTCAACAAAAGCTACTGAAATTATGATGAAATGCTAGTAGCTTGCTCTTTCTGTCTTTTCTTTTTGGGAGATGAAACGGTTCTTGTTCTAATTTCCTTACAAAATAGCAATAATACATACTTGTGAGTTCTTTCCTTTTTCTTCAAAGAAATGAGCCAGAGTCTCCATGGGTGCTGACAGGGAAACCAATCTCCAGTTTTTTCCTGTTTGTGCAATTAGGGAAAACCAATTCCAGTTTTTTCCCTAATTGCTCAAACAGGAAAAAATAGAGTTAAAGAAGTGAAAAGAGAAAAACAATACATGCTCTGAAAATGTATGCAAAAACAGTAACATGTTTACACAATTTCTTCTCTTCAAATCTCATTGGGACTCGATATAAATTACAAGAACAGGTCCTTCACATTAAGGAAAAGAGTCGAGACTCAATATAAATTTTGCAGATTTATAATCCCAAGGAGCAAAGCAATATGTAATGTTCAAGAGATTCCTTGCATAACAATATAATTCGATCGAGGGCACAGGAACTAACAAATAAAATCAAAGAGTACAAAACTTGCCCAGTTTACGGGAGACAGAACAGCTATCCATTGAACAAAAAGGCTTAAAGTTTAATAAATAAAATAAATAAATTGCGGGAGGCAACCTAGCTAGAGAAAGAACAAATTCATATAGACTATATTCTTGCAACGAGTTCAGAATCTATCTCCTCAAGAAAATGCTGCAATGGTTGAAACACAAAAGCCCACAAAGACTTATTAAGCTAACACATGTAGACCATGTGCACAATCTAAATGTTCTTCAAGAAAGATTGCACTCTGATATCCTCAGGGCAGGATCATACCCAGTCCATTGCTTCAGATATACTAGATCAACTAGCAATGGCATGATCCTTTTTTCAAATGATATGCAACTTCTATGTGCTTCCAGCTATCCACCGCCAAACACCACCAGAACCTTGCCTCTGGGCAGCTGAAAGCTCCATCTCCTGTTCCAGTGCTGACTTTTGTCTCCTAAGTATTTGTACTTCGTTCTCTATGGACTGTGAGGATTCCAGCATCTTTTGTAGTTCAGCAATTTGAGCCTAGATATATAAACATGTCTTAGATCTTGGGTCAAAAGTGTAAAAAGGAATTAAGTTAAAAATCTAGCATGAAATAAAAAAATATCAAAAACTGAAAACCTCAAGTTTAAAGCATCTTGATCTCTCAGATATCAGCTGACCTTGGACAGATTGGAGTTCCTGCAACACAACAGCAAACTAAAATAACAAAAACTTCAAACTTTAAACTTTAAACTTTGAGCCACTTAAAGAGCATACCTTGGATAATTCAGTATGATTACTATTTAATTCATCAATCTTCTCTCTGAACCTAGAGTTTTCTGCTGTGACTTCTTCAATTGACAACTCCAACACCTTTTTCTCTTCTTTAATTGCATCAATTTCAATATTGATATCCTTTTTAAGAACATTATTTTCAACTCCATTAAAGTTCAGATCTATTATTTGCGGAAAATCCAACTTTTCTGACTTTGCCAAGGCATATGCAGCAGTAACAGAAGCTGCTGCTGCTGCTGCTGCTGGGGACTGAAAAATCTTGGGATGAGATGAGTCTCTTGGTTTGAGTTTCATAACAAAAACCTATCAAGTAATAGACAACCACTAAAAATCAGGGAAAAAGAAATGATACATACTGGCATAGATTCAGCAATTTAACAAACATGATTTTGTATAAAATGTTGTTAAACAATATACCTCGTTACTATATTTCCCATTGTATCCACCAAAGGCAATCAAATGCTTCTCCCCATCAATTATTGCCGAGCAAACACTTAGTCCCTGCATTTGAATAGCCAATTGCCAGGAAAATTCAGTCAAACCCAAAGATAAATCAATTATATAAGAAATTAAAGCATAAGACGTAAGAATGTTACTGATGAAAAAAAATACATAAAAATGTTGGATAAATAGCAAACATATACTTCTTTAGCAACGATAATGAAAACAATAAAATTTTGATGTCTTTTTAGAAAAAATAAATGTTGGATAAAAATGTTACAGCAGTGAGGACTATCACCAAAAATTATTCTAAAAGAAAAATCTCAATATGCAGCCACATTCCAAAAATCTTGCCCAAGTAAAAGTTCAGCTAGTATTCATAGATATACAGTTTATCAAAGGCTCAGAGTAGTAACCTCACTAGAAAGTGGATGCCTTTCCTTCAAAGTTGTCAAAGTAGACCAAACTAACTTAGACATATTTAATGCAAGAGTCTCCAGGCAACCTGTAATGAAAAAGCGATTTAGCAAATGAAATTCCAACATAAATAAGATTTCACGAAAAATTACATCACACGCACCATTGCTGTTATCTCCACCACCAACAATATACCATATTTCATCAATGGAAATACCAGCATGACCTGCCCTAGGACTCACCAAATCACCCTGAACTTGTGGTTGGGACCACTCCATCTGCATGGCAATCCAGGATCAACTGCAGTCAATCAAACCATTCAAACTACTTAAGCAGAACCCTAAATTTTTTATGCTATTAGAATAACCTTATCTCTAGCTTATTATCATCATAAAAAATCTGCTTCACCTGCTGCAGTTCATATTTCTTTAGGACAGCAAGAATGATCAAATCATAGAACTGACGCTAATCGCTAAGGAAGATACTATGCAATATGCAGTATTGCTTAAATATATCAAATGAAATATGATGGTAAGTACATCTCCAGAATTAAGATCTAAACTTTTTTCTTTTGAGATGAAAAGAAAATGTTATTACTTTCGATAAGGTCAAGATAAAGGTAAGGTACTTATATGAAAAAGTTCCAGCATCTATTGTGCAGTTAATGTAGACTGTACAGCCAGTTTAGGGTTGGACCAGCTTCATGGACTACGCTGGGGATATCTTGGAAGAGTTCTTTATGATTTGAAAATATATATCCCCTATTTCGACAAGCACAAATAAGTACACATGAGCATAAGCAATCATCTTTCTATCTTTTCAGCTATGTGAAAATGGCACTCAGAGATGATCTCCAGAGGCCATGCTAGTTACCAAGTTGATTGATAAGCATTGTACACATTATTCATCATTAAAAAATGTGACAGCTTACTCAAGAGAGGAAAATTGACAATTAATGGCATTCAACTCATACCAAAAGTAAAATTGAATATAAATCCCAAAAGGAAAAAGAAAAGGTCCAACACTTACAGTCTGCAAGTCCAATACATGAAGATCATTGAAGAATATTGAATGAGAACAACCACCAAAAATCAAAAGGTAGCGCTCAGCATGCACTGCAGCTGTGTGATCAAATCTTGGAGCAGGGGGTGTTTGCCTATCAAAGTACAACAAAAGTGTTGCAGAATACTTCTGAAATTGTGAAGAATAACCAGCAATCAAAAGCAGAAAGATACTTACGTTGACTCCACTAAACTCCAAGTCATTGTCTCTAGATCAAGAACATGTACATCATTCAGCAATTTCCTGCTCCTGTCTTCTCCACCAAACACAATCAGTTTAGAACCTACCAGTGTCACAGAATAACCCCCACGTGCTACCTGGAACACATGGCACAAAATCAAATTCCCATAAGACAAGACTCCAACAATGGGAAAGAACAAATTCTGCCCTTCTTAAACAACATATAATAGGTGAAAATTAAAAATCAAAGGAGGATTGAATGAAACAAATAGGCAAAGCATATAAGAAAAGGCAAATTTTTATTTTAAAAAATAGAAGAAGCTGTAATAAAGATAGTTACCGGAACTTTTCCTGAGGTCTCCACAACACCACAGACATGTGTCTCTAGATTGAGGACATGCACTACAAGAAGTCCATTAACATATTATTAGATTCCAAACAATTTACAAACTTCATTCACTACCAACCATTAACCCAAACACCAGATTCCTTAACTTCTACAGGTGTATTTGTACCAAATGATCCTCGGAAATACAAACCTATCATCGCATCAGAAGATTTCTTCGAATGCCCACCAAGAAGAAGAAGTTTGTTTTCCCACTTAATCTGCAAAAAATATATGAACAAGTAAAAATATATTCAAGTGCTTATTGAAAGTTGTATTGAGTCACTGCATAAGTGGATATAAATTTAATTAGGCAAAAAGATTATATCAATTGGGATGGTGCATCTGAAGTCCCACCATACTATGATCTGAAGTGCCTGGAAGAACTTCCTGTAAGCCATTGTCTTCTGATTTATCAGCATCTGATTCAATCTTCAGTTTCAGACTAGACCATGTCAAACTTCTAAGATCAAATACCTGCAAAAGCAGCCAAAGAGCACATTACAAACATGAAAGTAATTCAATATGTATAAACTGAGGTCATGTACAAACCTGAATATCAGACAGGTATCGACCATTACGACTGCCTCCATGGATATATAGGTTCTCACCAACCACTGCTGCAGCATGCTACAGTGAAAAGCCAAAAAAAAAACATGATAAGCATCTAGCTAAAGAATCATAGAAAAAGGCAAGCACTTAAATGAAAATCAATATAACAGCATTATTAAGGGTTAACAAACATGACCCAACACCCCAAAAGAGAGAGAAAACTATAAAAAAAATGACACAACCAATAAGTTCTTTTGCATGGTTTACAATTTAAAGCAAATTACCTTGTACCGAGCTGATGGTCGTGCACCAGAAACTGGCAGCGCTACCCACTGCTCATAGGCCAAATCTGAAGGCCACTTGCTGATATCCATTTCTTTAATCTCTTCTGCTCCCATAACAGCTGTTTGTATGTCAGTCAAGTTCTTAAAATGCATAATACAAACAATCATCTTAACAAAGAGAGACTCAACTCATAACTCATAAGTTTCTACAAACAAGGGAAAAGTGTTGTGGAAAATGGATTGAAGAGCATGATAAAATTCCATCCCCTATATAAAATTTGGTGAGAGGAGGAAAAATACAAAGGAAACAATTTTCTAGGGCATTTTTAAAAATCACTCCCTTTTCCCTTTTGTTTACAAGATCCAAATAAAACCTCACTCTTGAGACATGAGACATACAGCAGACGTTTTGTATATCATACACACCATGATTTGATCCAGTAAAAAATTGAATATTGAAAAATTTATTAGGAAGATTATTGGTATCTCTATAGTTGAACAAGAAGAGAATCGCTCGGTGAAAGGCTAAAGGAAGTGTGTGCCATGAACAAGACCAGAGTAAGCTGCCTAAGTTACTGGGAAGTCACTCAAAATAGACCAAATAATCTGAACTTAAAGGACAGAAAAAATTCCACTACCATAAAGATGTCAATTTCATAGACAGCTTATACATATAGTTAGCAGTATCTACTTATTAATATTCGGAAAAAGTTTTAGCGGGATAACAAAACTTGATCACAACATTTCTTCAGAATTCTTCATATAGTTATAATTAAAACACCAATCTGATACAGATAACATTATCATAGTTATTTATATTATTCAAAATCTAGCAACCTAAACTTTTCAAAGGCAAAAACATAACCAAAAAAAATCATAAAATTGTTGTAACTAAACTCTAATAAAATGCAAAAATAATGGCAAATTCTCAATTCAAAGCTAAATCACATACTATCTGACTCTTCAGAGTAATATCCCCTGTTTGCTTGCAGAGAAAATGCAGGAAACCAAAAAATAACAGTAATTAATATTTCTCCACTCAAATCAACCAGATACAACTTGTTTGACTTAACAAAATCAACATACTCCCATTTTCTTGGAAACAACAACAATCAATTTCCTTTCTTTTCCTTCCATTTTCTCAGCAACCAGACAGAGCTCTACAATTCGACATTTTACAGCGATCTCAATCTTTAAAATACACAACTGAATTAAAATTTAAAGTCTAAAATGCTTAAAACGAAAGAATTGAGCTCAATTTACCTGAATTATGCAAAATGATGGAGAATAAACTTTGAGCCGTTGATTTTTGAGAACAAGATCTGAGAAATTGTTTATGTATATGGGATCGGGGGTGGGAGGGCAATGCGGGGTGAGATCAAACGGTGTTGATTCTCCGACAAGACGAAGAATCGAACACTAGCCCTTAAGATCTGAATCTCTCAATCTCAGGTGAAGTGTTTGTTTTTTCCGTTGTGGTGGTGCCTACGTGTATTTTGGTGCGGACTAAAGAAACCGTAAAGGTCGAAGTCACCTCGATTAACCTCGGAGCTCTTACCACTTACGCACACTATGCCACTTCACTGTGTAATTTGTTTTAGTAACAGGTGCTCGTTTGACTTGAATTTTTTTTAATTTATTTATTTTTTAAAAATAAAAATTAAATTAAATATAAATTTTAAACATTTTTAAAAAAAATAATTTTTTTTTAAAAAATAAAATTTTTAAAAAAAGAACTTTTGAAAAAACTCCTGAGTTTTTTTTTCTTTTTATAAAAATATAAAAAAAATTATTTTTATTTCAAAAATATCCTCACCTGTTAAAAATAATTATAATATAACTCTCTAAAAAAAATATCCTTTATAATAATCTTAATCAAAATTATAACTTATAAAAAAAAATTTATCAAACAACTTCAGCTTAATTCTAAAAGTTATTATTTTTTATAAAAACTTTATAATAACTTTTAAGTTAAAAAAAAAAGTTAGGCCAAACAGGTTCTAAGGTTGTATTTGATTTGTTATTGGAATGTGATTGCTGAATATGTAATTATTAAAAATGTAACTTTATAATGTTTAATATAACAAGAAAAATTGATGGTTGCAGAAAATGTAATTACTGAAAGAATTATATTATAGTATTTGATTTGATAGAAATTTACTAAGAATATAATATAAATTGATACAATTACCCTTATGTATAAAAACATATAAGTTGAATAAATTTATAATTTGTAATATAAAATTTTAACCTTTCAACTTTTAAGTAATTAAAATAATAAATAATAAATTTACAAAAATAAAAAAAAATTATATTAATAATTTAAATATTAAAATATGAAAAATTACTAAATGTTTAATTTTTTCTTAAACTTATAAAAATTAAAAATAATAATGCTTAGAATTATGACGAGTACAAAAATATTATGCAAAGAAGAATATGTTGGACCTTTTCTTCATCCAAAACTCGATTTTGTATCTTTTTATATGAGTTTGAATGTCAAACATTGTTCTTTAACGTCCACATAAGAGTATCTATCAATAAATCAATATCGTTTATCAATAGAAGCAATTACGTGCACCATCTATCAATCGATGATAAATTCTATCAATAAACATTCAATCATATTATGAAACCGCATCTATCGATAAATTAAAATGTCTATCGATAGATGTACTATTTTAATAGTACATGACGCTTCCTTTATCTCATAACCGTGGCACCAAAACACCTCATTCTTTCAAATCCTCTCAACTTCATAGTAAATTTCTCCAATTCTAAATTGTTTAAAGTATTTCCCTCTTAATTTTTGGCATCGAAAATATAAATTTTTCTCAAAATGCTTTTAAATTTTCTAAAAAATTCAATTTAGGGTTTTACACCTTAAGGTCTCAATCTCTCCAAATCTTGGATTCCTTTACATTTTGAGAGAAATTGTATCAATTAAATCATTTCCCTCATCCTCCACGATATTTCTACCAAATCATTTCTGACCAAAACACCCCAAGCCTCCAAATTTCATAAATTTCGAAATAAGTCACAGATCTAAAATGTATAAAGGTGACTATTAAGAGGTTCAAGCAACTTTTCTAGTGCTAGGACATTTTTAGTATCGAATGAGAGTTCGTTTTTGCGTAATTTCACTCATCCATCGCACATTCAAAAATTCAACGACTTTTTCGCCAAACGTAAGGTAATGCGAGGGCGTATAATTAACTTTGATTACTTAAAGTCTATTGATTTCCCATACCTTGCAAACTTTGAATATTTAAGATGGACACATTACTTACAATTGAATAATAAATACTATGAGACTTTAGTTCGATCTTTTACTTCAATGCAACATAAAATCTTAGACTAACTTAGCCACCATTTTTGTTGGCAGCATTATACAAGAAGTTCAACCCACAACCCATATGTGCCAAGGCCTTGCATGCTAGGCCCGCTAATCTACTTTGCACAGCCCATCATTCTACACCCTGTGCGATTTAATCTTGCTAGTTTATTTTGTGCATGGTAACCCTTGTTCACTATTGACCTAATGATTGCCTAGGTTGGATTTGTCATGGATTTGCAAGTCATGACACCTAGACACTATGTTTTAAGCATAAGCTTGACCAAACATGAGAACATTAATATATTACTAAATAATATAATTTAATTAAAATTTTAATCTTAAAATATATTTAAAATATTAAATATTAATATAAACATATTTTAAATATCTTAATAATAAACCTAACTTAATTATGTTGGTAGAGCCAAGACTTGGATTCTCATGAAGTTAATTAAGTCTGAAAAGTCTCTCCTTTCTTTCTTTACTTAGAAATGGAAACAAACTTTAAACAAGTAGCTCATGGAACATCTCTCACTTACCCTTTTTTTTTTTTTCCCAATCTTATATCTCAAACTACAGGTAGCCACATAATTTATTTCACTCCTAGCAATAGGAATAGTGGTTTAGAGCAACATGCACACACTCGTTAAAGCCCTTATTTCGACCTCGACCTAATATTTTTATTTGATAAGCACTAGAAGAGATCTAAAAGCAAATATTCCATTGATTGATCATCCATTTCTATGTTTTATAATAATCCAACCTACTATCTCAATGCATGAAATTTCCTTGGGGATACAAAGATTCACATAAATAATAAGCAGTGAGACTTTAATGGCCTAGTAGGACCAAACAGAAGCAGAACCATAGTGTTCTTCCAAGAATTGGTTATTCATGAACCTTCCTTTCTTTACAAGATAAGGCAAAAATAATAAAGATAGGGCTAGCTAAGCAAAGTAAGATTGCCCATTGAGACATGTCTAGTCTTTAGGTTTATTTTGGCATTGTTATTATAGTTGAAAGAAGCTCGAGTTGGGAAAAATTACTTATGGACCCGAACCTTGGTGATCTATCCATGACCAAGATAAAGCTTGGGTGAAACTAAATAGAGGTCTGAATCGACTGATGTTGAAGAATCAGCGGATGAGTTGTGGTTAAGGTGAAATGCCACGTGAACCTAGAGCTAGTTGGTTCTCCCCGAAATGCGTTGAAGCACAATAGTTGACTAGACATCTAGGGGTAAAGCACTATTTTGGTGCAGATGGGTAGAGCAGTACCAAATTGAGGTAGACTTGAATACTAGATATAACCTCAAAATAACAAGGGTCGAAGTCGACTAGTGAGACGATAGGGGATAAGCTTCATTGTCAAGAAGGAAACAGCTTGTATCATCAGCTACTACCCTCAAATGACTGCTCAGTGATAAAGGAGGTAAGGGTGCAAAGACAGCCAAGAGATTTGCCTAAGAAGCAGCCACCCTTGAACGAGTGCATAATAGCTCAATATTCGAGCACTCTTGTCCTGAAGATGAACGGAGCTAAACGATCTGACAAAGCTGTGGGTGTAAAAATGCATTGGTGGGAGAGAGTTTCACCTTTGTAAAATGTTGTATGAGATTGCTATGAAAATTGTCTTTTGAGATTTTTCAAGTATTTGGTATTGTTGTTAAAAGTGCTGTGGAGAGTTCAAAGGTCTAAAAAGGACATGACGTTGAAATGTAAAAAATAAGTCAATTTTTTTAATACTATTTAAGTAACTTGCTATTAAGACATACAAAATAATATATGAAATTTAATTTTAAAAATTTATAAAAAATAATAATTAGTAGAAGAATTAAAATATTTCAAGTTAGAAAGTAAATAGCTATATTCCTTCTAGATTTTCATTTTAAGTTCAAATTATGTCAATATCAAAAAACAATATTGCTATACATTTGAAATAGAATCCAAAAAAATAGATAGATTTATACAAAAAAAGAAAGATTGAAGGATAATGTTTTATATTTCACATCTTTGAAATAAGGATGAATATTTAGTAATTTCTTCTGTAAACCAAAGTTTGTGAACGGCCAAAACACATTCAAAGGGCTTTTGCCATTGATTCAAGAATTGTTATAAAAAAGGTAATTTTATGCTCGAATTCATGATGATTGTAAAAAATATGTTTTGAAAGCCAAGCACAGTACCGAATTAGTTCCTTGGCTTAATTTGGCTTGGATTCCAAAATATAGTTTTTATAAATAACCCAATGTAAAACAAACAATAATTAAAAACATTGGAATATTTGATTTATTGGTTGATGAATAATTCTTAATAAAATCTTCTTCCTTCAATTAAATAAAACACATACGATAATTTGATTTAAAACTCCATTTAACGGTCATTTTATTGACTAATTTGATTAAAACTCCGTTTAACGGTCATTTTATTGGCTAACCGCAAAAGCTATTTTCAACGGTCATTTTTTGACCAACCGCAACAGCTCCTCGGAAAGTGCTTTTGTGATTTGAAACTTGCAACTTGCAACTTGCAACTTGCAACTTGCAACTCATGGTTTGTACAGGAAATGACGAAATACCCATTCCTCTTTTGAAAGATGACAAAATTATCCCCTCTTCACTTATAAAACTGTCCCTATTTTATTTTATTTTATTTCAAATATATAACATTACCATCTTTTAAAATGAAGGGAATATAATTATTTATTTTTTAAATTGAAGTAATATAAATTCCTTAAGAAAATCTAAAAACTATATTTTTGAATAAATTTTTAAATTTTTTCATAATAATTTATTTTTTGATACATATTGAAAATAATTTACTCAAATAATATTGATGACTTTTTTTTTTTTAACTTTTGTCAATGTAATATCAAACACCAAAAAAAATATTAAACCACATTTTTTCAGAGTAATTTTCCAAAACCGCGCCCAAGGATCCAAACCCATATAAACCGACCCGGAGAGCCTACTCAGTACTAACTTTAAATCTGACGAGCGGGACTCACTGTAACACTTCTTTTCAAAATTTTTCTCTTCAAAAAATCAGTCTATCTTTCCTCTCCTCTTTCTCTCTCGAAAACTTTCTCTAGATTTGCTTGGCTCCCCTGATTCAAAGTCAGGTACTTCCCCTTCTTCTTCTCCGAATATTGTTATTTTATTTTATTTTGTTTTATTTTACTTTTCTTTTTCACTCCAATGCTACTACCATTGA